ATAAAAATGTTGACTGGAGAAACGTTTTTCAAGCAGCAAACACTTGTACAACGAGCTCAAAACTAATTGATTTTAATTTCAGATTTTTACACAGACGTTTACCAACTAACAGCTATCTGCAAAAAATAGGAGTTAAAGAGGACGAAAAATGTACTTTTTGCCATGACGAGAAAGAGGATTTGACGCATCTATTTTGGAAATGCCAAAAAACCAAAAATTTTTGGGATAATTTCTCGATATGGCTTCAGTCTTGCCAGATCCTCCAACCAGGCAGTTACTTAGACATGACTACCGCTTTGGGCCTAACGCCAGACAGCTCTTCCTTTAAGCTCCATATAAACTTCTGTTGTCTTATAGCTAAGAACTTTATCTGGATATGCAGATCAAAAGAATGTTTCCCAGATCACAACAATTTCTTATTTTATCTGAGACATATATACCAATTAGAAAATAAGACACCGCGCAATACAAAAAAATGGAAACCTTTCTTTTCCTCGCTGGGTCTTGTCTCCTAACTCCAAAAACGTAAATTAGTAATATATGCACCTACCATGAATATTTATATTACTTTCACCACAAAGAAAGCCAAAAAAAAAAGGAAAAAATTAATTATAGATCATACTAAGTACAGTAATATATGGAATTAGCACTGCTGTAACGTATTTTAATATTTGTAAGTATATTGCCATGTAAGAGTGTAAATTCGCTATTTGTTTGGTTGTTTTTTTTCTTTTTATTACCTTATTTATTCTGTGTAATTTTTTTTTTCTTTTCTGTGTGTGTTTTACTTGCAATAAAAAAAAAAAAATCAAATAAAGTTACAAAGTTATAAAGTTAGTCCATATCATTATGGTTTGTTTTCCTTCCTTGAAACAGGCTCCTGGTTTTTGAATCTTTTCCACAAATGAAAAGGCAGCTGGCAAAAATGGCGTGCTATAAAAATGACATGAAAACCCTGAAAAGAACAGAAAGAATTGCTTCATTAGGCCATTTCTGAGTCCCAAAAAACCTCACTTTCAAAGGGTGGCCAGGTACACTCCCTTATTTGGCCTAAGAATAAGAAATCATTTTCACATCGAAGGCTTCACACTTAGCTTCGTCTTAAAACAGAGGCTTGGGGGAATTCAGAAATGCCCTATTTACTATAACTTTTATTATATTAACATTATCACTGTTGTTAGAATTGTTATTTTTTATTTATGTATCTATTAATATCCTTTTAGTTCTTTTTGCCTTTAGGAGTGGTTGCTATGGAAACATACCATTTCAAGCTCTAACATAAACATCCTTCTCAAAAATATTTGAAGGTTTGGCACTGGCCGGCCTAAACTTTCACATTTATGTTTGTGGCCTTAACAGCTATGTGCCGCTAAAAAAGGAATGGTTTTTAACAGGGTTTACAATTTAACTGTTAACTGTCTTGAAAAGGGTGTCTTTCTGAACTGAAAGCCTTCGAAACAGGGTGTCAACATTGGCGGTGCGCGGTCTATAAGTGTGGAACCAATAATTTTTAAAAATGAATTAGTTAATTTTTTTTAGTGTGACGACGATGCTTGTCTATATCTACCGTTTAAAAACTAAAATACGTTTAACAATGCTATGTTTAAGTGGTTTTAAACTATATTCTCGTTGGGTGCCCCTGTTGTCATTAAAATCGCCTTGCTCAAGATAAGCTTTAATTCAGTTTTCCGCCGTTTACTATCAAGTACCGTAAAATTCCGAAAAACAAGGCCCTCCAAATAAAAGCCCCCGAAACTCGTAAGGGAAAAAACCCTCCGTTATATTGCCCCCCCAAATATAAGCCCCCCGGGGGGTCGTACTTGGAAATTACCCTCAAATACAAAGTAAAGGCTGCAAGGCTAGCCCAATCGATTTTGAAACGCAAATTTCCCCCCATAGATAAGCCCCTCCAAAAATAAGCCCCTCAAAAAGGGCTTTTGAAAAATGTAAGCCCCGGGGATTATTTTCGGAATTTTACGGTATTTTGAGGGTTGAAGGACATCGTGCGAATAAATCACTGGTTGTTCACGTGATCTTTTCAAGGCAGGTACAGTAACACATGATTTACATACTTTCCATGATAAATTATCTGAATCATGTTTTTGAAATACTACACGTACAAATAAGAAGTCGCTACACAACGTGACTGCCTTGCGGAACGATTTTGTTTTGAAAGCAAGTGGTTTTTGATGGACACTGGGTCCGTTGTCACTTGTCTCAATGTGTCACGGCAAAGCATCGTACCTCGTTACATACGTTTTCCACCGAAAACTTACTGGCAATGGAAGATAGAAAACAAACGTATTGAAAAACATAGCACACTGAGAGAAACAAACTATTAAATAACTTAAATTTCCTCTTAGGAAAATTAATTGTCCTCGTAGCTACGGCGTTAAACTTTTATGCTCCGGACCATAGGTACCTGTCATTGTCCTTTTTTTTGTTTGGTACAGAGAATTCACAGGGTGGGAAAAGGGTTTTCCGTGACGCGTGATGGGTCCCAAATAATCAGCGTGATGCGTGATCGGGCCCAAATTAATCGCGTGATTAGGCATAGCAGCGTGATGCGTGAGATTTCACTACTATTACGCGACACGTGATTTTCCTTTGAAATTTCCGTGATGGTTAAATGGTTAATATCAATGGAAACTAGAAGCAGAGACATTAAAAATACAAAGTTATGGGACAAACTTCTTGCCCTTTTTTCTCGTTTCTCGACCTCTGATTTCTTCAGATCAAGTGATAATAGAATGCTTGTTAATGTAGTTAATATTTTGAATTATTTATCCTTGATGCGTGATAGGTCCCCCCCCCCCCCCACCGCCCGCCTTGTCACCCTGTCTTCAATGTCCTCCCAGAGGACTATTTTTGTGCTTTGTTACCCTTTGAGTCATGAGGCGATCATAACATTTCTCTTTTTAATAGTAAACAACGGTCTCTTTACCTTGTACTTTTTCTGCTGAATATTCTGACCCACTATCCAGCGTGTTGTTCAATTGAGGGGTAATCTGCAGTAAAATTAAGCTTACATGTTTGTTTTCTTAACAGAAAACACGGACCTGAATGACATACTATTACATCACCTTATTGTAAATAATAATGTACGTCTTCTCGTTCTGCATTAAAAATACACAATGATTTTGTTTTGGGGAATGTTTTAGATTTCAAGGTCAAGTTTTGACGGAGTTAATGCGTAAATCACAAACCTCTTCGGTTGAAGTCATTTTCAATCAAAGCCACTGGTGAATGAGAATTTTTTCTAAGGCGTCCCGAGTACTTGCTTGACGACAACTTAGCAATGAAAAAGGCGTGAAACAATTTCCTCTTTTGTAGAACAAAAAGGTCGTTTTTTCTTTGCTCTTTTGGCACTTTGTACAGTTGGTATAAACACGACTCCCTCTCTTAACCAATCAGGAGTGAGGCTGAAACCAATCTTGAGTTACTCACGTTCTTTCTAAGCCTTTGGCGCGCGTGCCAAACACGCAGCGCAAAACCTTGCTATCAGGCTTAAGAACATTGCATCATGATCGTGTTTGTGGTAAAAATGTATAAGTATTATTTAGAAATTATGCCTAACGCTTACGATATCGTATTAAGGTCACAATTTTGTTTACTACATTATCCGACAGACCTCACTTAGCCAACTTCATGTGTGTATCTGAACAGAACGATTCCTTTTGGTTTCGATTTTTTAGTAAACGAACTTTAATTAAAACCGGTCAGCAGAAACATGGATAATAGAAAAACTGGGTCTTTCAATTTATTATCCACGGTAAAAACAAGCATTGAACTTTCAGCGTTGTTCTTGATCGTGCAACCATTTAAAATCATTTGATTCGATATTATGCTATCGAGTCGATACTTAAAACTCCTTCCTAGTTCGCTAAACCCACACATGACTTTTACCAAAAGATTTATTTTAGTTAAATATCGAAGGATTTTAAACTGTTGAGTAAATAAATCGAGCCAAACTAAAAATAAATGCAAGTTTATTTCATTTACAGGTTTTTCAAATATTATGGAGTACATTTACTTCTGTCACCACTCGTAAAAAGGTTAACGCTAAGTTTTGTAGCCATAATATATTTCATCCTGGAATTGTCTTAACAGACCTTACACGATGTCATAACAATCTTTTGAAAACGATCTAACTGATCTAAGAACGTAAAAACTTAATTAAAAGCCACCACATCACCAATTTCGATAGCAGAGTTGAGGAGCTAAGGATAATACTCGCGTGGTTTACGTCCAAAACAAGTTTAAAACTTACTCGCACTATTCTTGTGGTGTTTGCAGCTGAGAGAGTTTAGCTCATTCTCTCTTGTTGCAACAAATTCAGTTAGTTGTACTAAAATCACTCATAAAGCAAGTAATGAATTCGGCTTTTGTAGGATATTTAACAATTATTCCTTGAGCCCGAATGGGCTCTGAGTCAATAGCCCATGCCTTCGGCCTCATGGGATATTGACTCAGAGTTCCATGAGGGCGAGAGGAGTAATTGTTTTAGTAAAATCCCATTAGTTGGTAAAAAATATCGAGAATAAAAAAATTTTAGCTAAGTAAAAGCTAGACGTGCTTTTTTGCCGCCAAAAAGCCCGCGCTTTTCGCTACTAGTGGGCTATAACATATAGCCTAGTAGTAGCTCAACCAATCAGAACACAGCATTGATAATAGACCACTAGTTGGACTTTACTAAAAAGAATTATGCACATCTCCTTCGGCCTCAATTCATTAATTGCTAAATATCCTACAAAAGCCGAATTCATTAATTGCTTTCTTATTCATTCAAAATAATTCCTAGTGAATTGCCATGTTTGAAAATTGTTTCGCGTGATTTGATCCGTCAATCAAATCGTACTTTTTAATTGTTTCCTCTCTGAATTTGTTGAGATCACTTAGTGTGTATGTACTGAAACAATTATTCTTTTTAATCTCGGTGAATAGTGGCTTTAGGAATATTTACCTCGATTTCAAAGAATAATTGTTAACCAGTCCATATAATTAGGGTCAGTTTTCCTTCCTTGAAATAGACTCCTGGTTTTTGAATCTTTTCGACAAATGAAAAGGCAGCTGGCAAAAATGGCGTATTATAAAAATGACATGAAAACCCTGAAAATCACAAAAAGAACTACTTCAATAGGTTATTTCTGGGTTCCAAAAAACCTCACTTTCAAAGCGTGGCCAAATACACTCCCTTATTTGGCCTAAGAACAAAAAATCATTTTCACATCGGAGGCGTTTTTATATCCAAGGAAAAATTACTATGGTTTGTTTTCCTTCCTTGAAACAGGCTCCTGGTTTTTGAATCTTTTCCACAAATGAAAAGGCAGCTGGCAAAAATGGCGTCTTATAAAAATGACATGAAAACCCTGAAATGAACAGAAAGAATTGCTTCAATAGACCATTTCTGGGTCCCAAAAAACCTCACTTTCAAAGGGTGGCCAAGTACACTCCCTTATTTGGCCTAAGAATAAGAAATCATTTTCACATTGAAGGTTTCACACTTAACTTCGTCTTAAAACAGATTCTTGGGGGAAGTCAGAAAGAGCCTATTTACTATAACTTTTAGTATATTATCATTATTACTGTTGTTAGAATTATTATTTTTTATTAATTTATCTATTAATATCCTTTTAGTTCTTTTTGCCTTTAGGAGTGGTTGTTATGGAAACATACCATTTCAAGCTCTAACATAAACATCCTTCTCAAAAATATTTCAAGGTTTGGCACTGGCCGGCCTAAACTTTAACATTTATGTTTGTGGCCTTAACAGCTATGTTCCGCTGAAAAAGGAATGGTTCTTAACAGGGTTTACAATTTAACTGTTAAGTGTCTTGAAAAGGGTGTCTTTCTGGGCTGAAAGCCTTCGAAACAGGGTGTCAGCATTGGCAGTGCGCGGTCTACAAGTGTGGAACCAATAATTTTTTAAAATGCATTAGTCAATTAGTCAATTGTTTTTTAGTGTGACGACGATACTTGTCATTAAAATCCCCTTGCTTAGGATAAGCTCTAATTCAGTTTTCCGCTGTTTGCTATCATGTATTTTGAGGGTTGAAGGACATAACGCGAATAAATCACTTGTTGTTCACGTGATCTTTTCGAGGCAGGTACAGTAACACTTGATTTACATACTTTCCATGATAAATTACTTGAATCATGTTTTTGAAATATTGACGTACAAATAAGAAGTCGCTACACAACGTGACTGCCTTGAGGAACGATTTTGTTTTGCAAGCAAGTGGTTTTTGATGGACATTGGGCCCGACATTGGGTCCGTTGTCACTTGTCTCGATGTGTCACGTCAAAGTATCGTATCTCGTAACATACGTTTTCCACCGAAACCTTACTAGCAATGGAAGATAGAAAACAAACGTATTGAAAAACAAAGCACACTGCGAGAAATAAAGCTAAATAAACTATTAAATAATAATAAATTGTCATCGTAGCTACGACTTTAAACTTTTAAGATCCGGACCATAGGTACCTGTCATTGCCCTTTTTCTTGTTTGGTACAGAATTCACAGGGGTGGGAAAAGAGTTTTTCGTGACGGGTGATGGGTCCCAAATAATCAGCGTGATGCGTGATCGGGCCCAAATTAACCGCGTGATGCGTGATTTCACTACTATTACGCGATACGTGATTTTCCTTTGAAATTTCCGTGATGGTTAATATCATTATAAACTAGAAGCAGACCTTAAAAAGTACAAAGATATGGGACCAACTCCTTGCCCTTTTTTCTCGTTTCTCGACCTCTGATTTCCTGAGATCAATTGATAAAAGGATGCTTGTTAATGTAGTTAATATTTCATTTTATTTTTCCGTGATGCGTGATAGGTACCTCCCCCCCCCAACCTCGTCTCCAGGGCTTTTCCATTTTTTTAAGGGAAAAGTCCTGGGAACGAGGTTGCTCCCCCGCTTCGCCCGCTTTGTCACCCTGTCTTCAACGTACAAAAATAGTCCTCTGGGAGGACATTGTTACCCTTTGAGTCATGAGGCGATCATAACATTTCTTTTTTTAATAGTAAACAACGGTCTCTTTACCTTGTACTTTTTCTTCTGAATATTCTGACCCACTATCCAGCGTGTTGTTCAACTGAGGGGTAATCTGCAGTAAAATTAAGCTTACATGTTTGTTTTCTTAACAGAAAACACGGACCTGAATGACATACTATTACATCACCTTATTGTAAATAATAATGCACGTCTTCTCGTTCTGCATTAAAATTACACAATGATTTTGTTTTGGGGAATGTTTTAGATTTCAAGTTCAAGTTTTGACACAGTTAAATGCGTAAATCACAAACCTCTTCGGTTGAAGTCATTTTCAATCAAAGCTACTGGTGAATGAGAATTTTTTCTAAGGCGTCCCAAGTACGTGCTTAACGACAACTTTGCAATGAAAAAGGCGTGAAACAATTTCCTCTTTTGTAGAACAAAATGGTCGTGTTTTCTTTGCTTTTACACGACCCCCTCTGTTAACCTATCAGGAGTAAGTCTCAAACCAATCTTGAGTTATTCACGTTCTTTCTATGCATTTGGCGCGCGTGCCAAACACGCAGCGCAAAACCTTGCTATCAGGCTTAAGAACATTGCATCATGATCATGTTTGCGGTAAAAATGTACAAGTATTATTAAGGAATTATGCCTAACGCTTACGTATTGAGGTCAAAATTTTGTCGACTACAGATACACACATAAAGTTGACTAAGTGAGGTCTTTCGGATTATGTAGTCGACCGATCGTTTATTACGGCCCAGAGGGGGGGGGATTTTTTTTTGGGGGGGGTACAATTTTTGAAAAGGGTTAATTTGGGTGGGTCAGTTTTGAAAATGTACAAAGTGTGAGGGGGGTCGAAATTTTAAGACACAGGATTGACATTATATGTTGTAGTTGTTAAAACATATCATAATTGAAACAAAAACAAAAAACACTTTTCCTTCATTAGTAAACCAAATCAGTGTAAGAGTCTCGTATCCGTCACAACTTCGACATGTCGGGCCTTATATGTCT